GAGCTATTAAAATTTTAGAGGCTGTTAGTGTGGGCGTTTGCGTGTGCGTGTCTGGCGCACTTGAATTAAAAATGTTCTCCTTTTTTTTTTCGTGGCAGCATCAGCAGCATAAAATGAAAATTAGTTGATTTTTTTATGCGCTGTTCGCAGGGCGTGAGGCTCTTAAAGCTTTCAGCGTCAGCTGGCAAAGTTTTCAAAAAAAATATTTTAAGTGATATTTTTTGCCCAACTCTTGTTTCATATTCATATTTGTATTTGTGTTTGCCTTGGCAAGCTTAAAGTAGAAATTAACATAAAGCCAGAATTCGCGGGGAGCTGTGGAGGCCAAACGAATGTCAAGCCGAAGTGTTCATACCCTGTAGGAAACTGTTTGAATTAATTACTGACGAAGCAAATAGTTCTTAGCAATGCTTATAGATTGATCTCTGCCTCAGTAGAACATTGACTGAAAGGACTGTTAATCACTGTCCAGACAGAGAGAGAGAGCACCCAAAATTCGTAAAGGTTTTACAAGGTTGAGGTACAGGGCTATATAGACGTCATGCACTTGTATATTACAGCCAAAAATGCTGCATTTTTATTTTAAAATATGTAGATACATGAAATATTTCAATTAAATTGTGGGACAAATCCTAGTGTGGCACACAGACTTTGACTTGATTAAATACCTGACTTGTTATATCCTCCACTGACTGCAGGGTCCCTTAAAGTCCAGCAACTCGATTCTACACTTCTGTCTTGGCTTTTTTTTTTGTTGGGTTGTAAATTGTGATATTTTTTGCACCTTTCGGATTCAGCTGCAGCTTATTTCTGATGCATATTTTATTTTGCCATTGCATGCGTAATTTTATTTGCTGCCACGCCCAGGAGTACCGTAGCCCCACTCACTGCGGCTAGTTGCGGGCTCGTAATTCGTAGGAAAAGGTATAAGTTTTATGACCATTGCTGCGATTTTTGTTGTTGCTGTTATGCCAGTGCCATGGCAGGGTTGTAAAAAATGTATGCATTTTACAACAAAATGGTGCTCGTCGTTGCCCGGCTCTCAGTCTCAGTCCCCCAGTCCATGTCCATGTCCGTATCCTTGCCCACACGGCCATGTTGTCGCCACTGTGGCTGCACCTGAGCGGATTGTTGTCGTCGACACACTGGCTTTTCCCCGACCAGAATATGCACGGCAATGTGCCAAATTAAGTGCTCGGCCAGCCAAAGGGAAGCAGGCAAAAAGCGACCAGCCGGGACAGGAGCCTGTGCCAGAACGTCGCTTAAGTTGTGATGTAAATTTTAATTTTCACATGTTATGACATGTTCGTAGCGCCACTTTGAAGTTCTCCCGGACTGCATGACTAATTCCGCTCGAGAGCGAAGCACGCGAGACGAAAGCTTTAAAAAAGAAGAGCTACAGTAGTTTTTTACTGGCCTTAAATTCAATTAAATTTCTAGAGAATATTCAAGTACAGAATTTAATTGGTCTCCTCTGCAGAAGATATTTTAGTTACTTAAATATGATCAGAGAGACCCGCTCTCCCTAAGTACTATAAGGAACAAAACGTAATTCAGATACCTACGTTGTTCTCCACTTACTATCGGGCATACCGACTTTCTCATTTTCTCATGTTTTTTGAGGCCGTCAAAAATGCCCCAAAGCTGTTTACTGTGTCGGTGGGAATGAGACCACAACTTGTCCTTGTGGTATGTAGCGGTGGTGCTGCCAAAGGCAACTGAACTGCTTGCCAAATTGCCGTTTGGCGTAGCCGTTGATAAGTTTGTTAATTCAGTTTAAGCTTATTAGGTGGCACTTTAGTTTGGCTGCTTAGCCTATAAAGCCGTGCGGCCACAGAGACAGCGACTGTACTTAAGCATTTACTTTGACGCCAGAGAAAACGAAAATCTTGGGGTTTGATGGCGAATAAATTGGACCTCTTTTAGCTAATTCATCCACACACCTCTCAAATCCTTTCCCAATCAAAATCTATTGATTGTATCATCAATATTTCAAAGCGTTTGACACAGCCCTGATGGCATAATGAATTTCTTATAAAATTTTCATCGGTCTGCAAGTGAAAGGTCGATTTGGTGTAAATGCCTATTGATTTTTCTAGGTAGGAGCAATGGAATGAAATTGAAATTATGTCCAATGACAGCAGTTTAGGGGACGTGTCAATGCCGGAGCTCGACACAACATGGGACATGTGCAAAAATAAAATAAATATTTATCTATTTACAGAGGCTGCTCGAATAATTTTACCACCGCCAGCAGCAGGAGCATCAGCGTCAGCAGAGCTTGAACAAATCTCTCAAATTGCCCAAGGCTTCCTCGTTCTTGTCATCTTATTAAATCACACAAAATAGGAAAACTTCCAGACAGGCCACCAATGAAAGAGATAGATCAAGGGAGGGGAACAGGGATGGCCACAGAGGGAAACAGCAAGAAAAGAGCCTTAGATAAAAAGTGGGATAGGAACTGGGAATGTTACATATAGAAGCCAGTTCAAATGCCTCTTGGTCTCGACTGTCAAATCATTTTGTGATAAGGATATAACAAATGTGCACACACAGTTACTCCACACATCTATCTCCCTGTCTGTCTGTCTGTCTGTCTCTCTGTTTGTCTGTCCCTGTGTCTCTATGTGTGTATCTGCTTCATAACTGACAAATGAAAATGTCAAAAAATGTTTTGCTGACAAGCCAACCAAATGAGAATATTTTTCGTGTTTCACTCCGCAAAAAGTTCTGCACTGGAATATTTCCAAAAATTTAATTAAAAGTGCTTGCTGCAAACGAAAAGACTGAAAAATTTAACTTAAATTCACAGAAAATAGCAGGAGGTCGTCGACAAATGCTCCAATTAGTACGATTTAATGGGAATTTATAAGGAATAGCAAATATTATTGATATTTAGGGGTGGAACAGTGGTAGATTGCTTTTTGTGGGAATTGAAATGATAAATTTCAGAAGATTTGAAATAATTGTAATTGTAATACTGAAAGCCATTCGTATTTAAAAATATTTTATAAACTCGGAAGAATATTGCAAAAATTTATAGAAAATCAATTGGAGATTTCCTTTGGGAGAGACAGTCAGAGAAAATAGCAGAAGCTGGCCAGATTTAATTAGAAAGAAAATTGAAATAGTTGAGATTTGAATTTATGGTTTGATGTCACATATGCCAATATCTCTCTATTGTTGTCAGATTATTTAAATTATAATAAAGCTGTAAATGGTTAGTTCCATGGCAGTCAATTCAGAGTAGCCAAAGCCATATCATATTCAGCTACATTTCTCTAATTAACATTGTTGAATTCCTGTAAGTCAGGGACTTAGGCAGGCTCGATGCATGCCCACCTGTCCGGGATGGGGATTCACTTACAATCTCAGCTTCCATTACATGTTAAGCACTAAGCATTTGAGTGAAGGAGCAGGGCAGCTGCGGCAGCATTAGGCCATTGAAAATACCCTCACAATGATTAATGTTTGCTTATTAATAATGTCTCCATTCCCAAAAGGCAGGACTTCAGGTGCCCGGCCAACGACAATGGGCCGTGGCAGCAAATCAAGTCAATTTGTTGGCCAAAGTATAGGAGTATCCATTTACGTATTTGCATTTGGCGCCAGACTGTTCTTCAAAGATTTTCCCAACTGAAATTCTAGACATTCAGGCTGTCAGTCGAGTGGGCAGTAAGGCAGTAAGGCGTTGGTCCCGCCCGACCGGGCTGGTTCTGTGGGTGATGGCTAATGAAGGGCGCGTCAGATGCTGGAATCTTTTTATTCGCTTTTGTCCGAGGCTTTGGTTACGCATATCTGGCGGGGCTTTTGTTTTATGGTATTGTATTTTGCCAGCCGGCGTTCTCTTTTCTCATGTAATCTCACGGTCCGCACAATAAACTTGCATTTAACTTAATTTTACTGTAATTTATTTGTTATTTAACTAGAGGATCTATCCGTACAATGCAATATGTTGCATGATTTATGCCTGACATTCTCAATTGTTTATTGCCCTCGCTTCCTCCTGTCACGGCACATTGTCTCTGGTTTTGGGCTTGTGTGCTGCAGAGGTCTGAGGTCTTTTGTTTTTCACTCGGCATGCCTAATGTCCCTTGATTAATTTCGACAAATCTAAGTGCCGTCTGGGCCATGGCCAATTTAAAGACCTCCGCCCACAGTTCCATGTCTGTCTGGGGCCGAATGACAATTTGAAAAATATGAATAATAAGGGAATAATAAGGACAAGGTGAAATATAATGAGGTGCCCTAATAGGGCAGGCAAATAATTGGGATTACAATGAAATAACATCCAATTAAAGCGACAACAATGGCTGCATGCAATGGCAATTTTTACAGTGTCAATGTTCGAAAATCCATGCTTCATTCTTTGATTGGGAGGCACATAAATAAACGTATACATATGTATATACGTATTTGCATACCAGCCATATCAATGCTGTGGAAAAGTAGCATAATGAGATTGTTATTGTTGAGGATTTACTTGGCAGATGAAAAGATGAAATCGAGCAATCCGATTCATTATGCAAGAAAACAAACAATCACACAGCGAGCCATACGCTCACTCACACGAACATTAAGCTGAACAATTGTGTCGCTTTTGTGGAAATATTTCACGCAGCAAAAAAATTATTACAAATATATGAACCACTCGTACGCGGACAGAGAGCCAATCGGAAGGCTTTATTATCGGGAATAAATTACCCTGACCACACTGTAATTTATGCCTCTATGTCACATAGATAATCATCGAAATTATTTTCCATTTATAACAAAAACAGACACAAAAATTGTTAGCTTTCGAATCATTAAATACCCTTGCGTTGTAAAATATGGATAAAGTCTGAAATTTGATGTCTGCAATAAATAAACGGGTTTCTAGAAATGCTCAACGAATTTTTGAATATTGTAAAGCCTTTTGTTGGATTTTAATAAAATATTTAAATTTAATTTACCCACTAACTAATCCCAGCATTATGGTTTCTTTAATTTTCTTGCAGTGTCCCCACGGAACTGGCATTTAGCAACAGAGAAAACAACTTCGACAACGACACGAACAGGAACAGGAACAGGAAATGCATTACATTATAATTTCATTAAGGACAAAAGCCTTTCTTTGCCATCGGTGAAACAACGTTGCCATCGGAGACAGACCCAAAAGGAAAATAGAAAGGCAAAAAAAAGGGAAAACCCGAAAGCAGAAAGGAGAAAGGAAAAACCACAAGGCAGAAGACAGAAAGCTGCAAGAGGCGACAATAGCGAAAGCCATTGCCTACTTCTGGGCGCTGTCAGGGGAAAAATCAAGAGGCTGGCATTTTTATGAAATTAATACAAAAGACAAGGAGTATAAGGAGCAGCAGCAGCAGCAGAAGCAGCAGCAAAAGTAGAAGTGGCAGCCATGACAAAAGTGACAAGGACAGGACAATGATGAGCATCACTCTGATTATAATGGCGGCCCAGCCACAATGCGGGGCATGCAACAGAGCGGCGGCACTCGTCGAGTAGAGACACACAGAGAGAAAGAGAGAGAGAGAGAGAGTGAGGCTGGTGGACGTGACAAGAGTCCGATCAACATTATACTAAAGCAACTGCGACATAGTGGAAAGTGCTAATCATATTGGCGGAGCAACTTCCACGGCATAATTTGACGGGCAAACGTGACCGAGCTGTGGGGGATATTTTCAAAAACCCTGAAGTCTCTGGGGGAAAACGCCTACGCGACACAGAAAACACTTGAAAAATTAAAAACAGAAAAATACTCAAAAGATTGAATTTAAACAAAGAGAAAGAGACAGAATTAGGGAAAATGTCTGCTCCTTTTATGGTTCTACTGCTCCTGCTGCCACTGGTGGCCGGCTGCCCGCCGGAGGTCTGTATCTGCAAATGGAAGGGCGGCAAGCAGACCGTGGAGTGCGGTGGCCAGCAACTGGCCAACATTCCCGAGGGCATGGATCCGGGCACTCAAGTGCTAAACTTCAGCGGCAACTCCCTGCAGGTGCTCCAGTCGGAGCGTTTCCTGCGCATGGATCTGCTAAACCTGCAGAAGATCTATCTGTCCCGCAACCAGCTGATACGCATACACGAGAAGGCCTTTCGGGGGCTGACCAATCTCGTGGAGCTGGACCTCAGTGAGAACGCCCTGCAGCATGTGCCGAGCGAGACTTTCCAGGACTATAGCTCGTTGATGCGTCTGTCGCTGAGCGGGAACCCCATCAGGGAGCTGAAGACCTCGGCCTTCCGTCACTTGTCCTTCTTGACCACCTTGGAGCTGTCCAACTGCCAGGTGGAACGCATCGAGAACGAGGCCTTCGTGGGCATGGACAATCTCGAGTGGCTGCGTCTCGACGGCAATCGCATCGGCTTCATCCAGGGCAACCACATCCTGCCCAAGTCCCTGCACGGCATCAGCCTCCACAGCAATCGCTGGAACTGCGACTGCCGTCTGCTGGACGTCCACTCCTGGCTGGTCAACTACAACACTCCGTTGGCGGAGGAGCCCAAGTGCATGGAGCCGGCCCGGCTCAAGGGGCAGGTCATCAAGGGGCTGCAGAGGGAGCAGCTGGCCTGCCTGCCCGAGGTGAGTCCGCAGTCGAGCTACACGGAGGTGAGCGAGGGCCGCAACATGTCCATCACCTGCCTGGTGCGGGCCATTCCGGAGCCGAAGGTCCTCTGGCTCTTCAACGGCCAGGTGATGAGCAACGACAGCCTGATGGACAACCTGCACATGTTCTACTACATCGACGAGAGCATCGGCAGCAGCGGAGCCGAGGAGAAGCGCAGCGAGATCTTCATCTACAACGTGGGGGCCGAGGACAATGGCACCTTCTCGTGCGTGGGCCAGAACATAGCCGGCACCACCTTCAGCAACTACACTCTGCGGGTGATCATCAAGGAGCCGCCGGTGGTCAACGAGGTGTCCTTTCCGCGCGACTACATGAACTACATTGTGGCCAGCAGTGCGGGCGGGGGGATCATCTTTGTGGTTCTCCTCTGCACCATTGTGGTCAAGTGCAAGCGCACATCGGAGCCGGCCAAGCAGCGCAAGAAGTGCGACCAGGTGACGAGCATAGCAGGCGGCACAGACTCCTCCACGGGCAGCACCCAGGACACGGGCATGGGCATGATGAAGTGCGCCTCGATCCTCAACGACGCAGCGGACAGCATGTCCGGGAACGCTGGCATGCATCTGGGCGACACCATGACTCCGACCAAAGCGACCAACGGAGCAGCTGGCGGCGGCATCATTCTGGGCGGACAAATGAAGCAGAACCTGCTGCTGTACGCCACGCCCAATCCCGGCCAGCAGCAGCAGCTCCAATTGAATGTCAATCTGATGGGCAGTGGCGCTGGGTCGCCGCCTCTTCTGCTGAGCAACGGGCATGGCCTGGCGGCCGCCTACTGCTCGCCACCCGCCTCCCTGCGCAACTACCAGGAGAAGAATCCCGATCTGGTCAACGATGCCGAGAGCGTGAAGCACAAGCTAAAGACAGCCGTCTCCCTGGACGGCACCGGAGACTATGAGACGTCCAGCGATTGCGGCCAGTACGAGGGCTGCTACCAGCTGGCCGCGGCCCATCCCCATCCCCACCAGCATCCGCACGCCTATCCCCTGATGGGACGCTTCACACAGGCCATGACCACGCTGCCGCGGGGCATGCAACTCAAGTCAGTGATGGCGGGCACACATCAGCCAGCGCCCCACCAAGTCGATGTCCATTTGAATCCGGTTTGCTTCCTGGGACAGGATGGCTTCGCCTACGACTACAGCAGCGCCCATTTGGTGCAGCAGACGCCCCAGCAGCAGCAGCAACAGCAGCAACAGCAGCAGCAGCACCAGCAGCAGCTGCAGCCAGCAGGACCGCAGCCTGCCGCAAACTTTTATCGAACGCTGCCACACAATCGGCTGCACAAACAGCAGCAGTTCCAGGGGGCAGCGGCCAACAACTCGAGTCTCCGCTACAGCCTCGAGGCGGAGTTCATCCAGCGTGGCCCTGTCAGCTATGAGAAGTACCAGATGCCCAATGTTCGATTCACCGCCGAGGGCTATCCACAGCAGCAGATGCAGCTCCATCAGCAGCAGCAGCAGCAGTTCCCCTCTCCGCCAGAGGGGTACAAGAGCGATCTATCGATGCTGCCGGCTCCGTTCCAGCAGTGGCCCAGCTGTCTGCCTGGCTATCGCTACGCCCAGTCACCCACCCAGGCAGCCATGTCGCCCACACCACAGTCGCAAGTCCAAGCACAAGCACCACCGCCTCCGCCATCAGCAGCAGCAGCAGCAGCAGCCACTGCAACAGCATCGACCTCCACTGGGACTGGCACCATTCCAGAGCTGGACGAAAGCGAGGCCATCTCCCCGAGGCTGGAGGAAGCCGGCTCCGAAGCCGGCGCCGGCGCTGGTGCCGGTGCCGCGGCGACCCCAGAAGCGGCTGCCACAGAGGAGAGCGGTGCCAGTGGAGATACCTCGAAACTGAAGCAGTTGAACGGTCCCCTGGCGGACAGCCCCGACGAGGGCTATGTGGGCGATGGCCAGGAGACGAGCGACATCTGACAAGGCCCCCCAAACGGGGGCCCGTCGCAAGCTGATGCTGCCTTAGACGATTCAGTTGCTCTGTAAATAGGCACGCTGATCAGATATACTTACACACATATATACATACACATATACATACATATATACCTAAAACCCTCCTCAAGACTTGGTTTACTCTTCAGTTATTTCCAACAGTGGGTTCTGTTGTGTTTTTCCGGGCTCTTCCTTTCCTGTTTGTCGACTCACTTGGCCAACAAACCCGCAAAAGAAGCAAACAAAAGAAGCAGACCCAAGTTTAACCTAATAATTGGCACAGCTAGAAATGCGAAGCCAAGTAAAGAAAACTCGAAACTGAGGCTAACCGATGGCTGAATACTCAGGCAAACATGAATTTTCAATTTCCCACAATTCGCTGTGACCGTAAAAGTGTTTTGTCCATTTGATGGAGCAAAAGTTCAAATTTCTATTGAATTTTCAATATGAAATGGATAAATTTTAAACCATTTGATACTGGCTGGCTGGCTGGCTGGCTGGCTGGCTGGCGGTGGATTCAGTGGCAGTCGAGTGGCATTCATTGGAACCCCCAGATTAGGTTAGAGTATAGAACAATGGCCCAGTGGAGGGGCCTAACCTAATAAAGCCGAAAAACAAAGACGAGCCGCTAAACAAAAGGCTCTTGTCGCCGTTTGTTTGTTTCTGTTTGCCGCCTGCCGGCTGCGTGCTCCGTGCCTCGAGTGCCAGCCTGGCAGCGTTTTATTTCCGCTGATGTAATTGAAAAAGTTTTTCATTTAATATAAAGTTTTCAGCGTCTTTCCCTGCTCCGCCTGGCCACTGCCTACACAAGCCATATAAAGAACAGCAAAAGTGGTGGAAAAACCCAAAGAGACGCAACACAGAGGATGGAGTTGGAGGAATGCCTGGAAAGAAATACAGGGCCTACGACTAGACATGTGAGTGTTTGTGGGTCTGTTGGCTTGTCGATTGAGTTGTTCATCCTCCATCTCTTGCTCCGGCTCTCGTTGACAATTGACTCACCAAGAGTCCTACACAATTCTGCCAACCCGTACAATGGCCTCCCATTGCGATGGCAGCTCTCAGTCGGTGGCACACTTCAGAGCCAAGTGGCATGTGTTTTCACCATGGCGACACCTGCTCTGTGACACAAAGGACTTGAGCCCCGGCTCCAGCTCCGTCTCCGTCTCCAGCTGTGGCTCCACCTTCGGCTCTGAGCCCACCGGCTCGAGTGGGGGCGCCCAGGAAGTCCGAGCATGCTTTGGGGCAAGTGGAGTGTTCCGCCCCGAAAATCGCGGGTGGCATTAAGGGTTTACCCTTTGTAGTGTGCTCTAGTTTATGAAATTTTAATTTGGGCCACATCCGCCCCAATGTTGCATTTAAATAATTTATGACATTTATTTTCTACTAAGCAAAGACTTGAGAAACTTTTCTCCCGTATCCCACACACACAAACACACACACATAAACATCTTGAATCTTCAATCCTGAGTTTTGGTATATCAAAAGAAGAGCAGACATGAGACAAGTGTTTCCGGGTAACATCTTAAATAGATATCGTAAATTAGTACTTAAATAACGTGTCTAACTAGGTAAGAACTAACTAAATATAGGCTAACTCCCAAAGACAGTTCGAGACTTGTATGTAAATGTAGTTATAGAATGGCAGTTGCAAAACTATTCGCGTTTCAAGTTTAAATTTGGATGGGCGTTAATGCTCCATAAAGACTTTCCCACAGAGTGTGTACATACATATGAGTAAAATTGAAACTCTCAAACGGATCCAGTCAATGCCGAAGGTGAAAATTTGGTGGGAAACGTTGGAGGAGGATTGTAGGTAACCAGAAAAACAATTAGCAATACCAAAACTGCATGTGAGAGAGGAGAAGAAGAAAGCAATCATTTAAGCACAGTATGGAATATTGTAAATTGCATAAATAAATCATTAGATCTAAGAACTTAACAAACACACAACACTGAGACACACCCAGACACTCACTCACTCACTCACTCACTCACTCACAGAGGAACTCATAAATGATTAAGTTTTATTTTCACCAAGAGAGTTAGTTGGCAAAAACCTGCACCTTAAGGCATATAGCAACAGAAACTAAATTTAGATAACAGATAAACCGAAAAGAAATACAATTTTAGCCTAGAAAAAAAGCATTGAAAATTGTTTAAATCTCGACACAAAAACACACAGAGCCACACCAAGAAATATTAAACAGAAGAATTTGCTGGCAGGCATCTGCCCAAAAGGTAAAAGTAATTTTAAATATTATATTACATGAAATGCAAAAAAAAAAAAGAAAATCAATGGAAAGGAAAGGAAAGGAGAGTTATGAACTAAGTTAGTTGTTAGGCAATGCAAAAAATATACATACATATACATATGTATGAATAAATAAAAATATTGTATGAAATGCCATTAAAGGTAACAAAAACATTTAACAAACAAAAGAGAGAATCCAACAGACGAGCAACAAAAAGAAAACAATCTAGTTATTAATTTGATTTCTAAGTTAAATTACAATTAAAATGCATTATGATAATAACAGAGGCAAAGTGTAAAAAGGATAAGTGGTAATTAAACCGAATAAAACGCATTAAACTGAAGAATTTAATAAAAACTACATTATGCCGCCCTTTATTATTCATGGAGAGGAGGTGGAATTGGGTGGTGTACAAAAAATCACAGCAATGGAGCTGAGAAATGTTGGCGATGGAAGGCGATAATAATGAAAATTCACCATTAGGCAGGGGAAAAATATTCAAGATGAATCGATGAAAATGCCAGGTTGAATATAGAGAAATATGCAAGCAAAATGAATAGAGATAAATTTCAATAAAAAAGGGGGAAAATAAAGGAATCTTTTCCCAAAGGAATTATTTACTGCTTCCAGAAGCCTTTAAGATATCATAAAAATCTTTTGCTTTACTTTTAAAGTACGTAACAGTAGCCGGATAATATAGGGTACAGTTATGGGAAGATAAATATTTATCTACGTCCAAAATATCTTTAATACGAGTATGTTCGGGCACATATGAATGTACATACTCGTATGTGTGGTAAATTAAGGCGCACTCTTATGAGTTCCTCTAACACAATGGTCTCTTACATCTCAAGAAATCAACTCGTTGCGTCACAAGGTCGAGTGGCGTGTGAGAGCAGGCCATAAGACGCATAATTTCGCCCACATCACGCATACGCAGTGTCTGCCCAAAATGAGCACAGTACATTGAGATCCACAGCAAGGCAAGGCCATAGCAAACGATGGCTTGCACGGCTCAAAGAAGAGTCAGAGGCAAAGCACAACTCACACTGGCGCATTATACGTTCCAGTGCGCAATAATGTCATTAAAATTCGCAAAAGGAAAACGACGAGCGAGTGCCAAAAGGGAAGCACAATTGGGTCAGTTAATGCAGCCAGTTGTTACCTCGACCTGACATTTATGAGCAGCAGCACCAGCACCAGCAGCAGTGGCAGAGCAGATAGCTCCCCTCAGGCGAAAGACACTTTTAAACGCCCAGCAATTAAAACCAAGGTTTAAAGAAGCCAGCACCACATGAGTGTCGAAATTTATTGGAAGCGCCTTAAGCCCACGCCCAAAGACGACTAAAACCGAGAAAAATATGAGCCTCAGCGTGGGTGTGAGTTGCAAAAAAAAAAAACAAAAAGGGATACCATGGAGTGGTTGGCTGTGCTAAAAGCAGCCACATCGCTGACAGCACTAGAGAGAGAGGGAGAGAGAGGAAGCGAGTAACACAAAACCAAATCCAAGAAGAAATTGTGGCAACGGCATCAAAATCAAAGACAAGCACCAGGCTCCGGCTCCGGCTCCGGCTCCGACCAAAAACCAAAGTCAGAGGCGCGCATAATTAATGTAGGCATAAAAACAAGTGACTTGTAAATATTGCCAAGGCAATGCAGACTCAAAGGAGGAGCATAAGAGTGCGCTCTCCCCCACCACATGCACACACTCGTACGCACTCGCATGTGTCTACCGAGCGCCGAGTATCTTTGGGCGCTCATATTTGTGTGTCTGTGTGTGGGTGATGTGCCCTGCCTCGCCCTGCCTGTTTTGTGTGGCTACTTACAAAGTAGCAAGTAGGAACGAGGACTGCCAAACGGCAGAGGATTTCATGCCCGGCACAGTGGTACAGAACAGAAAGAATGCAAACTTAATATGAGAAAATTGAGGCGCAGAAATACCAAAGAGTCAAACAGTAAGGGTACGAAGGGTACTACATATATTTATAGTCATAATATTTTGTTCTCTAGCCACACTTTTCAGTACCTCTGCCACTGTGCCTTTTCTAAGTTTCACTCCTGTGGTGGAGCACCCGAGTGGGCAAGACGCAGAGCCACTTAAAAGCGCACACAAAGCCAACTCCGCACCCAGCACTACGAGTAGTATATCGGCGTGCATGAGAGTGTCGTTGTGTCTGTGCTGGTTGTTTATGTATGTGCGATGGTCGTCCTGCTGGCAGTGGCAGTGGCAGTGGCACTGCCACAGTCGCCTTCCGTCTCTTTCTGGTTGTTTGCCTTCGCTTATATGGTCTGGTGATTGTGACATTGTAGCTACAATTACAAGCGGAAGTGACGCACATCAACGCACAAATATGGAGGCGTCTATCTCTGCTTTATGTATGGCTAATGCGCCACTAAAGCTGCGCACAAATTGAGCTTATCGTATGGTTATTTCAATTCTATTTTATGCCAAACTCGACCCAACTGTCTTAGCTCTCCATCACAGAGCTCTTCGTTCCTCTGTCCTTCAGTCTGTTCGCCGAATAACATTGTGTGAAAAATGTCGAGTCAAAGTTTTCTGGCATTAATTTTGGGGGGATATATCTACCATACGTATATCTGTATGTGCGCATCGAGGCGGATGCTTACCCAAGTCGTTTGATATCTACAAACATATGTACAAATGTATGTGTGTAGTTCGGAGGCTAGTTGGTCTTATAAAGTTATTAACCAAAATTAATGTTTGTTATAAAATTTTGGTGTGTAGTTCGGAAGTGACTGTGCATAAAATAAACGATACCCGGGCCAGCAGATACTCAGCCATCCATTTGTATACATATGTGGGTTATGGCCACAAGAAGGTAAATAAGAATTATGCATAAGCAAACCATATTTGTTGCTCTAATTTCACATGAATTAAGCCATATTCAAGGTAATTCATGGAGAAGTTTGTCGGTCATTAGGCCAAGGCGATTAAGGGAGCGAGTTGCCTATGCATGACGAACTATTAAATGCAATACATAAATTTATGATATCAAATGAAAACTTAAAATACTTGAAACTTTTACTATAATTTTGGCAACACAGCGGATATACCAAGCACGTCCCCTTCATTAGTCTAAACTTCTTTAATTTTAAATTTCAAGAAGAGTAAAGCCAAGCAAACAAACAAAAAAAAGGCCCTTATTTACATGCCTCGTTTCGGGTTGGATACATAAAAAAAAAACGTATCTCTATCCTCTGTCACACATTCGTAGTAAATGTGAAATTAAATATTCACATTCACGCATGCACGCACATTAATTTGCATAACTAATAACAGAAAAAAAAAAAACTTCTAGTTGCCCAACAGAAAAGGAGACCCTGAAAATATGTCAAACTGCAAAACTTAGATGACAAACAATAGACAGAGCCCGAAACGTGCCTGGATACGCATCGGGCAGCTGCAGAAATGTCTTCAAATTAATTCAAACTCATAAAATATTGACAATAAACAGACTCTGTTCTGTCCGGCAGCTGGCGAAAAAAATATCCAGCGAATGATTTGGGTTGTGGGGAATCCCAGATAGAGCCCACACGTATTCCCGGGCAGCTTCATCTCGTATTTGTCTAGTTGTCAATTTTTAATGTGGCTGCTTGACAAATCAATTCTGTGACTGCAACAAATGAAATGAACAAAGGACTACTTGGAAAAGTTTCAGCGTATATATGCCAGATCTGGCACACAAAGAGCAATGTCAACGTAAACGTCTTTAGGATAATTTGATTCGGATGCCAGGGCTCTGCCTTCAAGGTTCCTCGACTATTTTGCCAAATTGATGGAATTTTAAATTTGTTTTGCTAGGCAACGTCCATTGACTGGCAATTAGAATAATTTTGTCAGCTGCTGCTACAGCAGGAACTCCTCTCATTCCTCCTGCGCATTCTCCTGCGCATTCTCCTGCTCTTCTGGTGAGGGGATTGGACTTAAATATTTGCCAAAATATTTAATAGTCACACGTCCAACTGACTTGACAGGTTAACGAGTGAGAGATGGCTCACTTGCGGTTAAAGGTACGAATATTTGGTACTCAGTGGATATCCGAAGGCAGGTTTCATTCATCATATTACATTATTTAATCAATTTAAGTTGCTTTTGCTTGATAAACAGAAGCTACTGCTCAACCCACAACCAACGAGTATCTATGTATGTAGGATC